GAAATGTGGATCTGCATAGATATGAGAGGAGAAGTGAAGAAGGAAACACAGTCAAAGGCTATTTCAACACAGAGTTTCTGTCTGCCTCATATATTAGCTTTTAGGTTTTATGTTTTTTGGTTGGCAAGTTTTGAACTTAGATCTGCCCATCTGTTACCACACAAGCAGCCGTATCAGCAATCGTTTAAGAGAAGTGTGGCGGGAAGGTTTCACAGAGTCGGGAGCAGTTGGTTTTAGTAGTTAGTTAAGAGGTTAATTATGTTTTGATGGGAAAAGGCCTAGCATGCAAACCAAGCTATAAGAGCTGGTAATTGTGCATTTGCAGGTTTGTTTTTTGTGTCACCATGTCGGTTCTCTAAATAAAATTGTTGGAAATTAAACATAGCACCTATTTTTGTTCATGGGTTTGTCCTTTTTGTTTTGTCTTTGTTTTTTTTTGGGTAATCCGCTGACATATAATGGAAACCTTGAGTTAAGAACCAATTTTGCAAAAAAAGTTCAGCATGTAGTGATACCAAACAAAAAAAAACTTACATAAGTTAGCATTTTCTAAAAGATTGGGGATAAAGAAAAGGGAGATTCACTAATATACCCATTATAGGAGCCCAAATTATAAAAATACCCTATATGAAATGGACTTTAGAAACACACCCAAAACTCATTTATAACATAACAAAAAGTCTTTTAACTTCTTTTAAATTACAAAACTGTCATTGATTTCTCAAAACAAACCCAACCCCAAAACATATAAACAAGCCCAAAATACTCAATAGGACATCAAAGTAATTTAATAATCAAAATTAAATTCAATAGGGCCAATTGTCATTTTTTGGGTTTTTTTTGGGTTTGTTTATAGAAATTAAATGGTGTAGGGTTTATTTATAGTTTTAGTGCTAAGAATGGGTATTTGACTAAATATCTCTAAAGAAGGAGCATTGTCCTCGACATAATTAAACAAACATGAAATAAGACTTAACTCACAAACCAAGAGCTTAACAATTAGAAAAGTTTATGTTGGCGTGACTCAAAGTCAACGTTCCTATTAGGAATAGAATTTGTATTTTATTGTAATTATCTAATTCGAGTAGAATTAGGAGATTTTGTATATATTTCCTATTTGTACCCACTCTGTATGTAGTATATATATCCACCATTGAGAGAAGAATAAACATATCAATTTAAACCCTAATTACTTTTGAGTTGGTATCAGAGTGGGTTCTGATCCATCTCTACAACATCAAAACCCTAATCCTAAAAATTCCTATTTCCGTTGCACCTAGCCTATACACCTAAACATGTGCCACCTATACACCTAAAGCCTGCCCGTCTCATATCTCTTACTGTCATCGTCACCACCTAATCTTATGCTGCTGCCGTCATCTATCACCATGTCGGAGTCCCTGAATCTTCTTCTTCTACCCCTATTGTGCCGGTTTATACTGAATCATCCACCAATCTACCCACGGGATTTAAATTGAATGGATCCAACTATGAGATATGGGCGTCAATGATCGAACTCCATGCTAATACACAAGGCAAATTGGGTTGCTTGACTCGCGACATTTATGTCCTTGATTCTCAAGACTCACAATTTGGCAAGTGAAAAATTGTTGATGCTACTGTGAAAAGTTGGATGTTGCAAACTATGGAACCCAATTTGTTGAATATGTTTCATACTCTACCTACTGCTAAGGATATTTGGGATGCTATTAATAAGATGTTTTATGATGGCTATGACATATCCAAGCTCTATGAACTGCGGTTCCAGGCTACCCATATCAAGCAAGAGGGTCGTCTTGTCTCTACCTATTTCGCCGAACTTAAGGCAATTTGGCTTGAATTGGATAAGAGAGGTCTTTTTCAGATGAAGTGTACTGATGATATGAAGACTTTTCAAACTGCTGTTATGGCAAATCGTGTCTATGATTTTTTTGGCTGGCCTTGACGATACTTATGACAAGGTCCGCAGTGATATTCTACAAAGTGATAAAGTTCCAAGTATCGAAAATGTATTTTTTTATGGTCCTTCGAGAGGCTCAACGCTAGATTACTATGCTTGGATTCGTTACCAAGATGTGGAACATTCTGTTGTGTTTGCTCCCAAAAACATTGCTCTAGTTTCTCAGCCTATAGGGTCTGGCTCTTCTGCCGTTCCACCTCGTAGCCTGACTTCTGCAGAAAAAGACAAACTCAAGTGTGATCACTGTGGTGAAAAGAGACATATTATCGACACATGTTGGGCATTGCATGGGGTACCAAATTGGGAGAAGGAATGAGGGCTTTTAGAAAAGGGAACAATTATGTGGCAAAGTTTATGTGGCTACTGCCATCATTTCTATGGCTGATGTCACCCTTTCTATGCCCATATCCTATTAAGTGTTTTTAGGGCCTGTTTGTTACACCTTCTAGGCTTGGATTTGACTCGACAAATTTTTATCCCATATTTATTTTCACTTGGTTCTAGTTTTAAGTGGGACTATTAATACTAGCCCCACTAAAAACACCTCCTTAGGTGTTCTTAATGAAACCCGCGTGGAAAAGGAGGACTAGACATTCCCAACCCAAGCGTCACCAAAGTGCCTGCAACCACCCAAGCACTAGCCAACCACCGACCACCCAAGCGCCATCCACAACCACCAATCACCCAAGCACCTACAACCGATCCAAAACCCCACCGTCACAGCAACACGGAACACGATTCCAGTCAATTTCGACGAGCACCATACGATTTGACTTCCATTCAAAACTTAAATAATAAAAAAATCCACCAACACAACCATATGATTTCGGTACACACTAATGGCAGTTGACGAGGACTTCATAGCTTGGACTTAGGGCCGTAGGTGACGACGACAGCTTCGTGAGTAGAGGGAGAAAAGGAAAAGAAAGAGAAGACAAGTAAAAGAGGAAAATGAGAGAAAAATTTCGAGCAAAAAAAAAAAGCATAGATAGAAAAGGATTGAGAATAAGAGGAGAAGGAGACGATGACAACCAATGTGCTAGGAAGGAAGAGCCCATAGTGGCAGGGCTATGCGAAGGAGGAAGAAGAAGAAAAGTTCTATAAGAAAATTAAAAAAATTCACATGCCCTAAAATATATATTTAAAAAACTTACTTTTCAACCAAAAAAAAAATTACAAAAAAAAAATTGAAAAAAAGATAGTCCAACTCCAATCAAATGTACACCAAACACGGTACAAGTGCTATCCAGCTTAGGCCAGACTAAGCTAATAAAAGATAATTTCAGGATTTAGTCCAATCCATGACAGTCCACCGTACTAAACAACCCCTTAAACTGTTGGTGCTTATAAACCATGAAAGGAAACTACTCCCTTCTAATGTGGGACTAAGTGAAAGTATATTTTCTTATACAAACTCTAACACAATAGTCTGAACTACTCTAGATTAGTGTAATCTATGATAGGGGAATTTGAACTTAGGTGGAAAGGGACGTGCTCGCTATTGTTTTTTGCAAGGCATTGCAAACATGTTTGAATTGAAATTAGTCCCACATTGGAAAACTAGAGTTCCTTGAAGGTCTTTATAACCCTTACTCTTGGATATAGAATAATTTTGATTGGGCTATACAAGTGGCCCAATTGAGTGGTTTGTGGGTTTGGCCTTTGGGTCAATGCCTAATTAGTTGGGTCAATGGTTAATTAATATATAAATAATATATACTCAATTAATCAAAAGATGGGCCTTAATTAATTAATTATTTGAATTATTTTTTAAAATTCAAATATCAGATAAGTTTTGTCTGATTGGGTTTTACAGTTATCTCCAACAGGTATTAGCCCTCTATATAAACAGGAGCCCTGGTTCTGTTTACATTACATCAAAAACGCAAAAATCATTTAAAGTCATCTTTCTATTCATAGCTTGAGACAAACACACATATTTCGCCAGAAATCAAAGCCTTAGTGCTAGAACTTTGATTTTAGATAGTTGTATTCTGGTGGAGCAGACACCTGCAGAACTACAAGCACTGAGTAGGGGCGAAATTCTATTTCAAGGACATTGCAATCTACAAGCCTCTATCTGAAAAAATCAATCAATTTTTATTTTACTGTCTAGTTTAATTTCTTGATTTTATTTATTGTTTAATTTAATGTAATTATTAAATTAAATTATTGTTATTCAACCAACACTCACTGCCCCTGACCAACTTTCTCCTTGCACCAGTGTTTTAAGGGCTAGATTCCAATGAATAAACAATTCCACCCACGCTTGCATTGTTGGTGCCTATTGTGGCCCTTCGCGTGGGTGGCGAGTGGAAGAAGTTTGCGCTTGTCTTCACGTCACCTACAGTGCAAAAGTGGCATGGGTCTTGCGCCATGCTTGGGCTGCAACAAGGGCTCCAATTGTGTGGACTTGGAGGAATTACTCTGGCGGTCTGAGATGGAGAGAGTCCACTGTTTATTGCCGAAGGGGATTGGTTTACGTAAAAGTAAGTTTCTTAACAAAAAAAGTTTGTGGAGTATAATTAAGTTGGTCTCTTCTACCTCCATTTATGTGGACAGAAGTTTGAAATCTTCAAACCCAATAAATAAGTGTGGGGTAATTTTCACTTTACTAAGGTAAAGTTTACTAATTTTTAGAGTTCGATACATCAAATATTTTTCGTCTCAGTCACATATACAAAGTTAATTTTCTTACTAGTTTCATACATGTCGTCAGTCTTTCTGTTAACTGCTAACGTGGCAACAAATGTGCCACATAGATTTACTCATATGATGCCATATGGTCTACATATACTATTAAATAAATAAATATTAATTAATTAACGGCATGTATGAAAATGGTAAGAAAATCAACTTTGTGTATGCGACTGATACAAAAAAAAATAAAATAATAAATGATGTATCGAACTCTAAAAGTTGGTAAACTTTATCATAATAAAGTGAAAATTACCCATAATTATGTAAACCTCCCCTCCTCAAATCACTTGAACTCCAAAAAAAAAAAAAAAAAAATTAGCTTAGTGGGTAAATGAACAATTATGCTATAATTGAGGGGGCAAAACCGCAGTTGACCCTTTAATGAAAGCCGTGGGATCCAAACTGTACGGTAGCAAGAACTATGTCCGCGACTATTTTCAGGTGAGCGGGACTGATCCGGATAGTCCAACCCAACGGTATTTCAAACTCAATTTCCGGAAAGAAAAAAAGAAACGGTATTTCGAACTCCAGGCGAGAGGGAAATGGCAACGGCTACTTTGGCAAGACAAATAGGTAGGGCTATTACAAAAGCTACCAACAGCACAGGCTCTGGAAACGGATGGTTCAGCCCTCACATGGCTGCTGCTTCTCGCGCCATCGCTGAACGGATCCCATTGGTGGATCTCGTTCTCGAAGTCAGAGATGCAAGGGTAATATAACTCAAGTATTTTTCACGCACTCTATGGTGTTCGATGAAATGCCTGACTGACATGTGGTAGCTTTTTTTTCTTCTTCTCTCTTAATAGGAAAGTTTTATGTTTATGATCTGGGTTAGCGAGTTTAGGTGTTTATGCAGCCTGTGGATTTGGTTTCCAGGTTTTGCTTAATTTGGTTGACAAGAAAGCTTCTTTTACCTCTGATTTTATACTGATTTTTTATAATAACTGGCATAAAGTTTACACTTCATTTTAAACTTCTTGTAAAACTTATTCTTATGTAGAGCAATAATATTTTGTCAAAATTATCATTCACCATTTTGGGTGTGCGTTTCAGCTCAATATATCCATCTTTCTTGCTTTTCTTTCACTTCTTTCCTACCGTAAATAATTAGATAGTTTCTTAAGTCACAACACTTTTGTCCCGTTTAGAGCAAAAGAATTTTGTATGTCTTATCAAAAAGCGAGTTAGTTTATGATGGATGTGGATGGAGGAAGATATGGCTTTTCTTACTTTTTTGAAACTTATATCTTGTAATGGATTTCCATTTTCAAAGTATTCTAGCATTCAAGTTGGCTCTTCAGAGAAAAAACAAAATGGGCTTGAAATATTCTTCAAAAAAAAAAAAACAGATAGTATTCTAGCATTCAAGTTGGCTCTTCAGAGAAAAAACAAAATGGGCTTGAAATATTCTTCAAAAAAAAAAAAAACAGATTGCTTGAGATCTTAAATGGAAAAGATATCATGAGTGGTTTCCGAAATTCTAATTCAATAGTCACAACTTCATTTCATATACTTCTGCTTTTTATGTTTTGTGATAGAGTTGCACAAACTATTAATGATTCATTTATTCTACTTTTAGATTCCATTGTCATCGGCGTATGACCAACTGAGGAACCATACATCCTCCTCAAAGCGAATTATAGTGATGAACAAGATGGACCTTGCAAATCATTCACAACTGAAGGTGTGTATTTTTTTAGCTGTTTTATTTCTGGTCATGATAAAAGAGGAGAAATAGTGTTCAAGCATGAAGTGCTATAAGTTTGGTCAATCTTCTATGAACTAACATTGGAATTTCTTTTATGGTTAAAGAGCTTGTAAGTTTGGTCAATCTACTGAGAATGATGTTTTTCTTCTTTCCTTTCCTTTTTTCTTTTGGTCTGTTGGAATTACATATACCTCAAATGACACCCAGAAAATTAAATCACACCTTGGCCACCCTAAAGATTTAACAGTTAGCTCAACAAATACCCACCCCAAAACTAAGCCATGATTGGTAGTGGTCGCTCTGTTGGGGTGGGGTTTATCTTGTAGCCACATAATAAAATCAATATATTGTGCTTTGCCTTCCCATACTCTTTCTGGATGCCAAATTTTAATCAAATACATACAAATTAAGGAGACAATGTTGGAATATAAATAGCCACTCTCATGGCCTTCAACCAATTGCTCCCACTTGTGACTCATCCAATTTGTTATTGGCATTTTCCATTTCCTTTAGTATGGAAGCTAACTTCATGTTTACTATTTCATGGCTTCCAATCAAATTATTCCCACCAGTGAGCCATCAACTTTATTATTGAAAATTTACCTTCAACTTTAGTGTAGAACCTAACTCTTGCAAGTAGAACCCGTTTGTGACATTTATACATAAGGGCATGTGGCTATAAATGTGTGTAAGAATGTTGCAATCAAAATCCCGGGCTAAATATACTTATGGAGTTCAGGGTTCATGAATTGCATTCTAGCTATTTCAAATGTCTCTGTATTCAAGAATTTATGCACTTGTGGAAATTTATAACCGTTTAGTATTTTGTCTTGAATCATTCTCATTTCTACTTTTGTAATACTTTCATATTCTGTTTCATTTATAGGATTGGATGAAGTACTTTGAGCAAAAGAATTACATTTCGTATGGAGTCAATGCCCATAATAAAGAGAGCATTCAGCAGGTAAAATGCAACTATCATGCTTGTTTATTATTTCTTTTGTTAAATGCATTTGTCAGGGGAGGAACAAAAATACAGGGAAGCAGAAGAGGCAATAACACATTTGATTTTTCTATGGTGTTATGTAGACCAACTTGTTGGCCATAACCACACAGTGCTGGAATGGGAGGGGAGGGGGAGGGATAGAGGCGTGAGGATTTTTTATTTTTTATTTTCTAATTTTTGGGCAGTGCAAAATGATATTGTTAACCATTTGCTGGAACTTCGACTAAATGGACACTGATGGCAGGGAGGTAAGTGTCTATTTCTGAAACCTGTGAGGTCGTGGTGGAATAACTACAAACTTCAAGGAAGGTGATGAAATATACCCCAATTATAATCAAAATGTAGTAGGAAACTCAATTGTGTGGTCTTGGGTTGATGGGTTGGCTAAACTAGTCTAAAATATATGGGCTCTCAAAATTAACTTGAACAATGTCTTGTTCAGTTCTGCGTTCTGCTTCGCTGGAGAATGCATGTGATAGGTGATCACGTCTCTATTAATATGTCAACTTTTACTTACAATTAAAAAATTATAATTGATAGGTTCTACAAAGTATATAAATGTGCAAAGCAGAATAATCTGTTCTTTTTTGGTTCTTAAAATTTGGGCCTCGTTGGAGTTATTGCTTTTTGAGTTTGATAAATACTGAGGATGGTTTACTTCTTACAGTTGTTGAACTTTTTGCAAGCTAGAGTCCGAGAATTGAAGAAAGTTGATCAATCTAGTCATACCACAACAATATTGCTAGTTGGAATTCCTAATGTTGGCAAGTCAGCTCTTGCCAACTCCTTGCATCGAATTGGAAGGATTAGTGCAGCAGGTACCACTTTAAATCATAGTCATTCACTTTTATTTGGTCAGAGTGTTTAGTTGGAAATAATAATAAATTCATTCTCTTCTATTATTATCAGTAGAATTTGAATAAATTGTAAGTTTTATTGCTTGTCTTATAGAGAAAGGAAAGTTGAAGCATGCTACTGTGAGTCCACAGCCCGGTGAGACAAAAAATATTACTGGCTTGAAGGTTTGTGGTCTTTGTCTTTTAATTTAATTTTCTAAGATTGTATATTGTTTAAGTTTGTCGAATATATTTTAATAACCCCAACAGTGGATAGAAGGAATAATCACAAAATTGTTCTGAAATTGTTTTGTTTCACGATTTTTCTAAATGTAATTCAGCTATGTTTTGTTTCTTCTCTATTATTAGAACATTTATATCTGTTTCCAATTCCAGCATTCAGTTTTTCATTTTACAAATGAAAGTTGCTATTATTTCCAGATTGCAAGCCATCCCAATTTTTATGTGTTGGACACCCCAGGTGTTTTGCCTCCACATATTCTAGATGATGAGGTCTGCACCAAGCTAGCCTTGACAGGTATGACCATTACGGACAATTTATTTCAACTTCCATAGGCATATGGCTGCTGTTTCTGGTCTGACGTAGCAGGTCTGTCCTATCCACAGTGACTAAGTGCCTGGCTCATACACTGTTAACTGCAAAATGACTGGGATCAATGAAAATTCTGACATTTTTGCTTTTCCACATGCAGGAACAATTCAAGATTGTTTTGCTGGGGAAAAAGAACTAGCTCAGTGTTTTCTGTCTATCTTGAACAGGAGTGATGAATACAAGAAGTGGGCAAAGTTGTCTAACAGTGAGAATGAAAGATCATTTGCAGATCGCAATATAGAATGCTCAACTAGCTCTGAAATGGGCATGAAACGAAAAAGGCAATACCCCACTGATCACACACAGGTTTGAGAGCTTTTGTTGTCAGTCTTAGAATTATGTTGTCATATGATTTCTGAACTAGGTCTCATAATTGTTTACGCTTCTTCCAAAGTTCTCACAGTTGATTTGTTGTCTTTAAAGAACTCTAAAAGAGCGTTTTGGATAATTTGTTACATTATTAGGAACAATAATTTTGACAATACCAATTGAGATTGATAAAGATGATAGTAACAAAATTTGGTCAAAACATCTTGTCAGTGAGCTATTGATCTAACATACAAAATACAATTACCTCTAATAGTAATAAGTTTCTGGATCCATCATCATTCTTTTAAAAAATGAAACTGAGATTCAAGTTTTTCGTCCAGGATTTCATAGTGCATGATGTTCGTCGGACACTCTTTGAAGTGATATCATCTTTCGATGGTAATGTGGAAGATGAAAGGCTTATTGAGGAAGAGTTAAAGGCCATGCACGCAGCTTTTCAGGTTCCTCTGGAATCCGAACATTATGCTCAAAATAAAATCGCAGCTAAGTTATTGAATCTTTTTCGTACTGGAAGGCTTGGACATTACATTTTAGATTCTATTCCAAGAAAACTCTAGTTCGGAGTAATTTCATGTAAGTATTTATTTTCAAGCTATGCTATTGGAAAACTACCGTCATTCTTTGTAGTAATTTTGTTAAAGTATCATTCTTGTCGAGCAATGCCAATGCATATATCCTCCGAAGCTTTTTACACCATCCATGTTTTGGATAGCAGGGTCTTCATGTGCTAAAATAAGCAACTGGTGAATTTAGCACATTATGTGCTACTCAAATAAGTTCATCTGAACATCTCAGCACCACAAGAAATAAGACATGAATTGAATGTTGAAATATTAAGTGGGATATTGGAAATTGTTTGAATCTAAACTCCACAATGGAGAATGACAAGTGGTTAAGGGCAATATCGACCGAAAACTGCGAGCTAGGTCATGTTGGCATTTGACAAGTGGTATCAAAGATAGGGTACTGGGTATATTTTTGCTCACCACTTTAACCCAAGGTGTACCTCTACCCTTCTCAATACTTGACATGTGTCCCTTGGCATAACTATAGTTAACTCTTTACTTTGTATTTATGCAACTATGGTTATGTCAATAGACATGTGTCAAATGTTGAGAAGGGTGGTGAGGGTACGCCTTGAGTTAAAGTGGTGAGCAAAAATACTCCCATCAAAGATAATGGTTCAGCTATGCGAATCAACACAGTTCTAGATGATTGCAGTACTGGAAAGTACGATGCATATAGGAGTGGGTGCCCAGGGTGGAGTTGTCATCAAACAGTTAAATCCTATGTAACAAACAAGTAATTGTTCCACAAATAAGTAAATCCTATGTAACAAACAGTTAAATCCTAACACCTTACCTTAGTGGAATAAGTGTCCTCCTTTTTCTCCTCAATTGATCATAGTTCAGATCTAACATTTGTCAAAAGTTAATGATAATATCTTAAGCACATGCCATGTTTTAACTGAGTTGTGTCACTTAGCATTGTCATATGACAAGAACCCTACACAAGTTTTTTCTCATTATATCTTGTTGGAAATAAATTGACCTTGGAGTTGGCTCAAATTTGAAATGATAAAATATTGTCCAATTATTTAGTGAACAAAATTTAGTAAATAAGTTTATTTGGTGACCTAGTAGTACTAAAAAAAATAAGGAGCTTCACATATAAGCCCATAAATAGAACCGAAATTATAAAATAACCCTGCAACGCCTAAACTCTACGAAAAAGCCTACTTGACTTTCAACGGGTCCAAATATACCAATCAAGTCTTAAAATAAAAGTTACAAGCATGTCATTGAATTTTATGACAGAGCCCAAACCCAACTTTTTACACAAAACCCCCCAACCCACTTTAGAAAAGAGTCCAAACATGAATAATAATAATAAATGAATAAAACCCTATTTACCACTAAATGAGGTTCAAAATTAAACCAAATATAAATATTTATACAATAAATGAACTTAGACATAAATAAATAAAATACTAAAAGATATAAGTTGGAGTTTACAAATTGAGATAAGAGTTGGTGTAAAAAGGATTAGTGTTAAATATGTGGGCCGCACATAGATTATTAGTCAAGGTGGTATTGTATTAAAAGTAACTTAACAAGGGGTGAAGAATGTCACACCTGTTAGCATGCCCTAATGTTGCATGTACACAGCTTAAATTCATTAACCATAAATCAATTGAACAGTAATAAATTTCAGATTTCATTTAAAATCTGGAAGAGAGTAAACTATATGGAAAGTGTTTTATGGCACTAGGGTCTGGTCTCTGTCTTCTTCTTCTTCTTCATGTTCATGGAAGCTATAGCACCATTTGGGTCAAGTGAAAAGGTTTTGTTTCCCTCCTATATATAAACCTCTTCTACGTTTTGAATCTAAACATTTATCATAAGTACTTTTCACACCTTAATTTCAACTTTTTCCTAGGTAATTAATCCTTCTGAGCTTTATCCTGTCATTCTCAGGAAGAGTCGTTAGTTACCATATTTATAACTAACCATGGTGCTTAATTATTAACTCAACTCATCTTGTGTCTACACTGACTTAAGCAATTTAGATGGTTATTATTCTTACAGGCGTTGTAGTACATTCCACGCGCGATCGATTTATGCAGATGTACGCTCTTGGTATCTCTCTCTACAATGTACTCCTTGTATACAAAAGTTTGTCTATGAACACCACGGCCGTGTATTTGTAGATATTAAGGAGGATTAATAATTTCAATTTACTCTACTAGTATGATTCCATAAAATTTTAAAATCCCTTTATTAGCCAAGGCCTCACTATAATATGATTCTTCATGTGCACGAACAAAAATACTGTGTGCTGGATGAAAATCAAAGTACTAGAAAAGATTAGTTAGAATTAAAGAAAAGACATGAAACTGAAGCCCACTGAAAGTTTTCTTCTTTGTAAGAGTATGCAAGGACTTGTTCTTTTTTGGAAAATTGTAATAAATGATAAACATTGCTCTAGATACTGAATTAATTACCAGCAAAATAGCCTGTGGCATAGCAATTTGTGATGGCTTCATAATCTGTCCGTAGCCATTATATATAGGCTGTTCATAAGATTAATAGGGACAAAACCTCTCTCCCTCTCTCTCCCTCTCACAAGCTTCACTTTAGCTCACTATCTCTGTCTCTTCCCTAACCTTGTCTCTATCTCTCTCTACCAGCTTGTAACCTTCTTTGATTTTTCCTGGTTCATATATCTCTCTCAGTCGCTTGACAGAGGTTTTTTAAGAATGTATGGTGATAAGAGTTTGCAAGGCTCTCAATCTGATCTCATCATGAACACAAGCAGCTATCCCAAGAAACTTCGTGTACTTGTTGTGGATGATGATGCAGAGTTTCTTACCTTTATTTCAGGCCTGCTTAAACTTTTAAAGCATGAAGGTACCTAATTTAGGTCCCGTGATTTTCTTCCTCTTTTTTTTCTTTTTTTTTTCAACTGTTACAATGGAAATGAAAAATAAGCAATTTTCTCTCCAAAATACATATATTTTCTGGAGAAAAAAAGTAATATAGAGATTTCTATGAACTTATGAGCAAAGAAAAGTAATAGATTTCTAATTTTTTTCTCTTATTCTTTTCTTTTCTTGTGTACATTAGTTCAATTTGGATAGAGTTGCGGTGCAACCTTGATTTCAATTTGGTTATATAATCTAAACAATTCTTTCATTTTAAGTAGATATTTCATTTTTAGATTTCTATTGGAGTTGTAAAAATCTTCTTTTCATTATAGGACATAACCTTTTTACTGTCTTTCCGGTTATATGACAGTTTTTTCCTTTCTATAACCCTTCAATTTCGTTCACTCTATCAAAGTCAGAAGGCAAAATTGGATTGTGTAGCTCCATGATCTCTCTCTCTCTCTCTCTCTCTCTCTCTCTCTCTCTCTCTCTCTCTCATATTTTTCCCAATCATTCTTATACCTTGAATTTCTATTCACCACTTTTTGTTGTCGTGTATTTCATTCTTTTTATCATAAAATAAGGTTCACCGATCCATGTATGTAGCTTGGTGTTTTATATAATTAGTGAAATAAATCTAATTATACGTGCGTACGTACTGCTGCATGACCGTCAACGATGTCTGACCTCCACCTAACTTTCTCTTCACGTAACATACGTACCCATTTTAGAATTAGCAGATACGTATCTTTTGAACTCTTTAAAGAGTATAAATTAGGGTACTGCATTTCACTCATTAGATTGTATGATATTTTTGTGGAATGGTAATTATTCTTTTGTGCTATGTTTCAGTTGTGACAATGAGGAATCCAATCCATGCCTTATCTACTACTCTTTTGCTTGAGGAAGACAAATTTGACCTCATTATGGCAGACCTTTACCTCCCTAATGTGGCTGGACTTCAAGTAATAAGGAGACTCAGAGAAGAATCCAAGCTGCCGTTAATTTGTGAGTCAATTATAATCTCGTTCTATTGCCTATGTGTGTGTGTATATAAATTTATACCCAAAGTACTTATTGTCACACTTTTGTATATCCCTTTATCTCTTTATATAATACTTTCTAGCTTAAAGTGCAATTGATTGTTTAGATACTTGGGGTTTTGGAGATTGGGATTTTTTAGATACTTGAATTTTGAAGAGATAGGTTAATTCAAATAAAAATTAGATCATGAGAACTCGTTGACATTGCAAGCTAGCTCAGCTATTGCTATTTGTTGTGATGTACCTAACTGAGTACATTGTGATGAATTTATAGCATAAGGCCAGAGCATCAACCAACCTCAATATCGTAAGCTTAATATACATTGTTAGCTCGTTTTGTGACAACTTAAACTTTCATGACTAGTAATTGCTAACTATGCCTAATTATATTACTAACTATTGCTTTCCTTTATTCATTATTAACAAACTTATCTTTTCTCATGTCATATTTTTTAGTTACGTATGTATGTATGTATGTATGTATGTGTATTGATTGTATTTCTGATTGGCCCCAACTTGGATGCAGTGGTTTCAACTGATAACAGAGAGAGTACCATACTAGCAGCACTAGAGCATGGTGCTACGCATTATATAGTGAAACCAGTTTGCTTTAGTGATGTGAGAAACCTCTGGCAATTTGTTGTGGGAGGCAATGAAGGAACACGAAATCCTCACATTGTTGTTGAGCAGATAGGAAGTGTTTCGGGGGAATCTTCGTCCTCCTCAAATGGGGATAGCAATTCCAAGAGGAAAAGACCATCACAGGGAGGGAAAGATTTTACATCTATCAAAAAGCACAAGGTCGAATGGACTTCTCAACTTCAGGCTCGGTTCTTGGAAGCCGTTTATTGTATAGGACTGGAAAGTAAGTAAGAGCTAGCAAGTTTGATTTGGTCATAGATTTTTCTTAGTAGTTAGTTAATTCTTTTTGGTGTGGTTTGATTTGGCTTAATTACTTACTAATCAACTAACTTCTAGTGGTTATGGTTTTAAATTGATTTTCAATTTGTACAGAGGCTGTTCCGAAAAGAATTCTCGAGGTCATGAATGTGGAAGGATTGACCAGAGCAAACATCGCGAGTCATTTGCAGGTTTGTCTTTCTTAATGTCGAACCCAAAAGCTGTTAGTTGCACAGGTTCAATAAGTATGTAAACATAATATTAATTAGAAACTTA